CTCTGTTTTTATTGGATATTTTTCCTCTTATTAGGATACATCGCTCTAAAAATTGTGCAAATTACGGATGAGTATAAAATATATTTTATACTCATCAATGGAAAATTTTAGATCGATAAATTTTCAATGTTAATATTAATGATCAATATCAATGTTTATTCATTGTCGATACACAGTATCATTATCTTACTTTCAGTTCTCAGCAGGTATCATCCAAGTTTCTTAATCCTAGGACTACACATGACATTTGTACATGTATTATCGGATTTATCTTATAGCGTTTTTTGGCAAAACTAATGCGCATTCAATGTACTTTAAAGCCGTTGTGCACAAATCGACATAAAGATGTACATTCAATAAAAATATAGAAATATAGAATTAAACTGTGAAATATTCAATATATTTTATTGTGCTATTTGATAAAATATATATTGATATTTTATCAATTTAGATATCTCTTACTTTTATATTTAGATTAGAATAGTACAACAGCTTTAAGTGCACTGTGTGTGCACTAGTTCTAATGAAAAACGCTATTAATGTTTTAATCTTATTTTTTGACGCAATTCCGATACAAATATATTTTTCAATAAATTTGTTTACATTAAAATACCGGATATCATGAAATAAGATTATAAAATTAAATTTCAAGTTAACTAAATTGTTAAATGTAAATATTTAAAGGAAAAATTTCTAAGAATATTAGCAAATAGAAATTTTCGCCGGGTCAAATAAATCCAGATATAGTCCTAGGGTTGGACGCCATAAAATGAAATGTAAGAACTGAAATTTTTTATATATACAAAATGACATAACTAAAATCATCTCATTATGAATCTTTCAATAACATATCACTTTTCATGTGTATCATGCAGAGAGTAGATGCTTAGAATCAATGTCTAATTTTCTTAAAGGGGATTTTGTAGATTTTATAGTGTAAAAAATTACGATATCTACAAAAACTTACGATATCTATTGAGATTTAAAACTGAAAATTAAAACTGACAATTTACATGTTACTAACTTCTTGCTTTTAATTTGTACAATCTTCAACAATTCTATAACGTACGTGCGCGTTATAGAATTAAAATGTTTTGAAAATAAAATTATTTGAAAATAAAATGAAAATAAAAAATTTGATCCGTATTTTTATTGTTCTTCTAGTACAGCTGATTGATCAGTATTGAAGAAGCAAATAAATTTTATTGTAGCATAACAGAAGTTAGTCTCATTCTTACATATTTACATATTCTTATCTTAGAAATACAAAATGTATAACATGCAGTATAATATGCATTATGGAAGAAATATCTAATTTTGTATATCTTGTCCTTCAACATTGTCGTTGCATAAGAGTGCATAGTTCTATCTATTTATGTAAGTCTATGGTATACCGCCCAATTGATCACTGCTGATAAACTTTCTTATTATTTTACTTATTAAGACATCTACTTTTTACGCACTATTTTATATCTTTTGTACTTTAAGAGATCGAAGAAATATTAGAAGTATTATTGATATGTAATATCTCTATTTCTCACAGAAATTCAATATATATATTAATTTTATCAATTAAATTAATCATATAAGAATTAATTAAACTTGCTATGAGAATTAATTAAACTTGCAAAATCTTTTATATTTATTAAGCACCATTATTATAAATAAGTGCTACAAATGAAGGATTTTTACTCTAAGTCAGTTCTTTAAATGAAGACTGACATTTCTATCTCCAAAAATTTAACGAATATGTACAATCAAAATACAATAATTTTTCATATTATCCAGGGAATATTTATCAGTACATTTAGCAATGAAAGAGAAAAAGCTGAGAATATAGAGAACATTTTCATGAATTTGATGATATGCATGGTTGATGAATTGCAGGTATTCAGGGCGCGCACACCGCCGGAAGCGATGGACCTAGTGGCACGGCTCTTGGAATATACACCGTCGTTACGCATGACACCGTTGCAAGCGTGTGCGCATTCATTCTTCAATGAATTACGCGAACAAGGCACGCGGTTACCAAGTGGTCGTGAATTACCGCCACTTTTCAATTTCACCGAGCATGAGCTGCGAATCCAGCCGATCCTTAACAGCATGCTGATACCCAAATACATGCAATCGGCCGCCGCCACCACCGGTACAGAGGGGAATCCCGGCGGGGGCGGCGGAGGCGGAGGTGGCGGCCAGTCGGACGCCACGGGCGCCGCTGCCAGTGCTAGCGGTAATTCTAGTGATAATAGCGCCAACAATCCCAACACCACCACTAACACTACCGCTACCAACACGCAAAACACTGACCCTAGCCAATCGAACATGGCTTGAACCGCTTTATTCTATTTTCTATTTTTCTTTTCTTTTTTAACGTTATTAAAGAGTTGGGTTATGACGTTGTTACGATGGCATGACGAAATAACCATCTTCTGACGAGGATGTCCACATTGTAAATGCGATATACCGCATTGCGGAGTAAATAGATATAAGATTCTCTCTAGCGAGAAGTAGTGTAGTACTGCGACGCGATTCAGTGGAATTAAAGCTCTTAGTTCATCTCCGTAGGTAGCTCTATAGGTAGGACCAGGGGATCCTAACTCTCTTTATTTTGACAAAAACGGAAGTTTGATGAATTCATAATTTTTAAAGGACAGAGCGTCAACTTATTTCTTCGCCACTTACTGGCTTTTTTATTGCCAATAGTGGCTGGTTGATCAACTTCTGTAAATTAGATAGTCAAGTTTCTTCTATTTCAGATTCATTTTGCATCTATTCTTTATTTATTTAAAGATAAAATTGCTATTCTTACGGAATAGGTATATAAGTAGACGAATTTCTCAAAGTAGAATATTGTTTAGTTTGCGAAACTATAATAACATTTCAGATTCATAAAAACGTTTCTGAAAAAATAATATAAAACAATTATTAGTAACAAAATAAAAAGAAACAAATTATATTCATTTTTTATAATTGCATGAAATATATAGGAATAGAAGTGTGTGTGTGTGTGTATGTGTGGGTGTGGGTGTGTGTGTGTGTGTGTGTGTGTGTGTGTGTGTGTGTGTGTGTGTGTGTGTGTGTGTGTGTATAGATACGTGTATAGCTTTCACAGAAATGTAACAAATATAAATTGCGCATTCTGTTTAAATACTGTATACACAATTTATAATAAGAAAGAAAGCTTTGCAAGATATCTTCTTTATCTAAAATAAAAGAAGAGATGGATGTCATGAGATTGCGTCTAAACTGACGTAAAATCAACAAAGCATCGAAAAATATTGCTCTCTTTCTCTAACTTATGACTAGATCGAGAATGGACAATTTTTATTTATTACATCCGTAGATTCCAATATACATCACATCCCGTTTCTCGTTAAATGAACTATTTTAGTTTGCTGTTTTTGAAGGATGGAATCAGGCGGCATTGAAATTCATTTTCTCTTTCCAAAGGGGGTTTGGAGCCTCTGTGTAGGTATATAGTATCAAAAGATTTTATACGTTAAGATAAATTATGTTTTTCATATGTTACAATATGTATTTGATAGAATAAATTTACGAAACATGCCGAAAATTCTGGAGAAATACTTGTGAAACTAGATCTGTCACAAAATTCATATATGGAATATGTGTAAATCATACAATATTAATTTATCTACAGAAGAGAAAATTCGGAACTGTTTGCGAATTTATTTTGTCAACTGCGAATTGTCGCATGCGGAAAGCTAATTCAATATGCATGCGCAAGAAAAGAAATTTATGCTATTCTTTATTTCTGACATAAACTGATATTGTTACTAGGAGTCTTAATTCCGCTTCGTTGTTTTCGAATCGAATTTAATGTATATACATATACGTGTACGAACTTGTTTCTCTTTAACTTTAAATACCGCTGAATGCGTCTAATTAAAGGTAAACTAAGAGATGTATAATCTAATGCGTCTATAGTAATGTCGTTTGCGTCGCCATCATTTTATATTTTAAGACACTGCGGAATCGAAGCTCGACGAAAATATCGACTTGAAGTGAAGATTGTGAATGCTAATTGAAGGATGCTATGTTGTTTTTTGTAGACTAGAACGACGCAATTTGACAGCGAATGCTTAATTATACCCTATGTATATATAAAAAATAAAATTCTTTAACACAATGACTGCTATATTATATGCATCATTTATATGCGAATGACATTCTTGTTTCTATTATTCAAATACGGCAAATTTTCATAAACTCTGTTGTGCAATGATATTCTATAACAAAGAAAGTGAGATAAAAAAATATATTGGTTTCCTAGACCTTGTTTATGAAATTGAATGTCATTTATATATAAATGATATGGCAGTCAATGTGTTAATTAACTGATAACGGTTAAATATACGATCCTAATTGAATTAAAATACAGTCGAATGCCTGTGAACTCATCAAGCTTAAAAGAAAAGCATTTTATGTATTTTTCCTTCAGTCGGATTTTTCAATAGTATACAGAATATTTGGTAATTAATGTGCCATCTTTCGCGGACAAATAGGAGGAATTAAACTGAATAAAAGTTTTAACATTTTTCAAATAATTGCTCAATAATTAATGAAACATTAATAAAGAGATTTGCGAATGAGTGTGCATCCGCGCGTAACAAAAGATATCACAGTGTTGTATTATTTATTGTTATTAGATATGCGTTTCTTCCCATATCTCGTTGCACTCGCAATTATCGTGTGACATCTTCGACTCTTTCTTGCCGAATTGCACATTGATTTGCGAGTAATTAATTTTTTTAAATTAATTACTCATATTATTAATTACTCAATTTCAAGTAATTAATTATTGAGAGTCTTATAAAAGGATGTTTATACTCATTGTACAAGTCATAGAATGGCTACCTGTCCATGAGAGATGCCATCCAGAGTAATGACCAGACACTTTACATATTGAAAAAAATGCTCTTATTTGCTTTTTCATTGTAATGATTACATAGCAAATTATGAATAGTGAAAAAATTGTCTTTAAAGAATATTTAGTTCACACAGTATATCGGAGTTGATTACAGATATTCGATTGTAACCATATTTAATTATGTCTAGGCGGTTCTAGACAAAATCTAATCTACAACATTAACTTGAAAAAGTACAGATGTTGTTGAAAGAAGACTATCATACTGTTAAAGTAATTTGGCAACAAGAACAAATTACTTTATTGCTGAATTGACTTAAATGTACATACTAAATGTACATATATATATTGGTTCCTCTTTAATCAACAATTGCTAAACATGATTCGAGTTGAAGACAAACTAAAACAATCTGTAATCAAATGTCTAGTAATTTATTAATTGCAAAATCAATTGAGGAAAATATCGATGACGAGTGTAAAAAGATCATCGTGCTATCGACATAATTTAGGATATATTTTGTGTGTGTGTGTGTGTGTGTGTGTGTGTGTGTGTGTGTGTGTGTGTGTGTGTGTGTGTGTGTGTGTGTGTGTGTGTCGTTCCTTCTCTAACAACTGATAATTGCTAAACTTGACACTAGTTGAAGGAAAATTCAAAATAATTGCGTAATTTAGCATCTAATATTAATTTAACGATAAAATGAGAAGGAAGAATAGAAACCGGTATAATTAAACATTTAGACTTAAATGATTATTTCGTGAATACATGAAATGGTAATTTTCTTAAAATTTTTTCTTACGGAAAATTGTACTCATCGAAATTATACCGGTTTCAAATTATATTATAATGTTATTGCAAAGTTTGGTTTGGGAGAAGGAAAGTAAAAATTGGAAATGGACTATAACATTCTCGATTCATAACATGAGTTTTATTAAGCCGGACTGTATTTCTTCAAGATTTCAGTCAAACCGTAGACATCGTATAGTACAGAACAATATAATGAATATCGAGGTTATCGAGCGATAGTATCAATAGTAATTAATGTTCGCAAATCATCTCGACTAATATCATCTTGTAGGCAAATGATGAAAGGGATACTCTATATTTTGTGTTCAGATTTTTAACGGATTTTTTCCGTTAATAACTACTATTGATAAAGAGAGATATTTGAAATATGTTTCAATATATGTACAAAAATGTCTCGGATAGAAAAACTAATCGACTTGCCGCGAACTAAACGCGCTGTCGTAGTTGAAGAGAATGCTAGCTAACAAATTCATGTTTCTTGCCGGAGCATTTAGTGAAAAGACAGATATTAAATTAATGCCTATATTAGATATGCCTCGGCTCTTAAAATTGTTATCCCTAAATACTGTCGCTATACTATGATTTTTCTCGGTTTTTCGGCTTTTCAAATTCTTTTCTTTTTTTTTTCTTTTTTTTTTTTTTTAATCTAGATGACGAACTTCTGATCGACTCAATGGAGCGATTTGTAATACTTTTAAGTCGATGACACATCATCATGGTGAATGGACTTTTTGACATGTTAATAAAAATCCTTCGATAATAAAAAAAGCTTTTTGTGCGTTATACATGTCCCAGGATCAGTTACGGGAAATAGAAAATTCAAGTTTTTCTTACGAAGGGACGGGTGATAAAAATGAACACTCTCTTAGATTAAGAAGATATGCGCTTCTCATATTGCAAGAATTGTGGAAAAGTTTGTAGCACGTATATATATATATATATATATA